GAAGCAGCGATGCTCATTCCCCTGCTCCAGAGCACCGCAGCAGCTGGCAGAGCCAGAGCCAGGCCACGGGCAAGGCAGGAGGTCCATCGCTTAGAAGCATGCAGGCAGCTTTCTAGAAGAATTTCAGGATTTCTGAAAGAACGGCACCAAACCCAAGCCTTTCAAGAAAACTTTTATTTTTTGTTGACTTGGCACGTTCCAGCAGAAATATTTTTACAATCAGTTAACTATTTTTAAGGCTGAACTTCTGCCAGCTATTCTAGAGAGGAATAGCCAAGATAGTAAGGCTACGGTCCTTCTGTGTACAATTACCATGGCTTTCCTAGCACTACAGGCAACAGACCCCAGTTAGGAGGAAACAGGAGAACTCGTCTACCATTGTGTGTTTGTGTATTTCCAGCTCAAAGAGGCAAACCAAGACTCCTTTCCCTCGGAGTGACAATTCTGGGTAACAGTTTTTAGCTGTTGATAAGCCCGCTGTGGAAAAGGGCTTTTTTCCTGGTCGTATTCAAAGGTTTCCTTCTTAGTCTCCAGGCCAGTTCACTGTCCAAATCACCAACATAACCCTCACCGGCTAAGACAGTCCTTTCTCAAGCTTTTCAGCTTGCAAGAAAGAAGAGAGCGTTGATAGCGCCCCACTGCAGTCCTCCACTGCTCTCAGATGATGCCAGAGGACACAAGAATCCTTTGCTACATTCATGCAATACACTGAAATGGCCTTCCAGGATGTACATGAATAAAGACGAAAACCAAACTCTTCAGATGGTGAAAATGAGTATTACTCCACCAGGAAAGGCAGAACACCTTTCACACACCAGCCGCTTGTATCATCTAACACACGGTTTACATACTTTCACAGTCATAGCTTTGGCTTCAATGGAGATGTGTCTACTTAAAGCAGAGCATGTTTGCTTCTGACTTCTCTTTGTAGGTAAAAACATGTTAGAAATGAACAGAGTATGAGCAGGAACGTGACTGGCCAGTAGAACTTCAACTGAACATGAGCTTTTCACTTCACAAATTACAGGTATAGCAATAACTCTCTCTGACTTTCTTCCCCCATGCTCCAACACTCCCGTGGCCACTTGAAAAGTGGCAGTGTTGGCAAACCTACATTTTCCAGGGTAGTAAAAACAGACTGTTCAGGAAATGAAGGGAGGGAGTGACTGTACTGTCAATCCCATTAAAAGTTCAACTTGCTACCTAAGTACACATTGAACATGTGAGTAAAATATCTGGGGCTTTTCTATTATTAGTCTTCTCACGAGTGGATGAATATATTAAAGTTTATAATGCTCTGAGAGATTCGTGATGGATGCTGCTTGAGGAGTGCAGCGCACACAGATCATCTGCACACATATAAGTGATATTCATTTATGGAAGTTTTCTGTAAGAACTGAAAAGACCTCCCTCAGTTAATGACATTGTTCAATCTTCTTACATTTCTTCATAGATTCAGGGTAGAAAAGTATTCCCTTCCCCCTTCGGTGCTTGTTGCTAGAGGCATCCTGATAATCAGACTAACCTTGGGACCAATTTTCAACTCCTAACAGCTCAGTAAACTAAAATGCTTAGGCAATTTATTCTCTGTATATTGTCAGCTAGGTAACACTTGATTTCTCATTCCATGACTGCATTTTATTGTTTTAAACTGAAATCCAGCATGTGTGTTTCCAACAGATTATCTCCATAATCACTTTCTTTTTGCTATGGAAATGATCTGAAAATTGTTCTTTGATACGAGAGAAGAGTTCACAAGGCCACACTGTACAAAAGCTCGAATCGTGCAATTATCATTTGTAAAGAGAAACTGTTATCAAAGTAACTGCAGGGGACACCTCCAGGACTCCTCTTAGAGTCAGGAAATTTGAAACATATATTTCTCTAACATGAATTTCACTCCAAACCCTTCTGAATAATTCATGAGAGCTGATTTAATGTGATAGTTAAGTCTGGCACTCAGGACAGAGATTGGGGGCTTCTGCTGCAGATGGAGGATTTTGCCAGTTCCTTTGGGGTAGGGGGGACAGAGCTGGGGTCTCATCACTAGGAGGGTTTTGCTACCCAAGTGCCTTTGATTTGGGAAAGTCCCTTCCCCATGACAGGCAGGCTTACAAGGAAAGGCTGGGGTGAAGACGGGTATCTTCCTTACTTCTGTCTCAGGCTGCCTGCTGGGGAGGCAGGAAAGTAAAGGGGAGCAGGACCCCCCCATTCCCCCACCTCACTCTTCCCCCACCAGCGCTAATGGCCATCAGAACCAGAGCCCCTATTTTTCTTAAGAAGCATCAGATTACCCGCACTGGCAGATAACAGATGTTATCTGCTCTTTAAAGGAAGAAGGCACCTTGAGATGAGGAAACGCCATTTTGTTCTTCATTCACTAAATGAGAGGAGCTATAAATTGCTGGAAAATGGTAGTTTACAAAGCACTAAAAGGAAGACCTACAGTTTGGCATGTGACCAATACTGGTTTTAACTATCATCTTGTGTGTCTACAGGCAGGCAAATTAGCTGAAGGCATGCACGTTCCTTGTAGTTTTTACTTGTAAAAGTAAAGGGTCAGAGGCAGCTGTGCCCTGAGGGCTCACTTCACCAGCATGACTGCTGCTGCCAAATTCCCACTCTCTCCCAACCTAGGATGAACTGGAGAACTAAATCTGTGAGGTACTGCCCTCCCCAGGCTCTTGGGACTTTTTGAGCAAAGCTGACTTCCATGAAAACTCAGGATTTCACCCTGCAGGGCTCTGGTGTGCTACTGTGCTAAAACTATCTGGGACTCAAATTCCCATTACACAGCGGAGCCTGAAGACTAAATGCCATTTGATGTTGCCAGACTTTTGGAAAAGACATGGGGAAATGGAAAACAAGCATTTTATAGGACTCATCAGAATTTAATCCCAAAGTACTTTTCTGTTGCCAGGTGCTCCTTCTTTTTACAAAGAGCAAAACTAATACACATGTATTTTGACCAAGGCCAGACACTAGCAAAACACTCAGGATTTGTTAATTTCCAGAGGCCAAATTCCTGCCCTATAAGAACAGGGCGCTGATGCACAGAACCATGCTGCCAAATCGCTGAGCAGTGCTGCGTATAATTGTGTTTGTTCTCCATAATACGACAAGGCTGGGATGCTGTCACTGGTAACTCAGATGTAAAACTGATGAGTTGCAATACAGAACTACGACAGTTTTATCTTTGGCAATCTCATTTTGCTGAAATGCAACCATCATGAATACTTGTTAATTGTTCTCTTTGTATCATGCAAGATTTTATACTTAAATAGGAGTCACAGGTGGTTATTACTTACAGATACTCAAAAGCAAAAATGTTGTCTTTAAAACACTTGAGGAACTGGGGAAAACACACAACTGTGACGTGCGAAGTTGGTCCCAACACATCTTGTTCTAAAGCCTCTGTATTTTTAAAATTTTAATCATTGCCTAATGCTATAGATGACACCTACTGGGCAAATGAAGGCCTGGCACATCCAGCATTCCACAGTTACTACCTGAAACTGATGACAAGTACGAATCCTCTTTACCCTCTGCAATAAGATTTTGTTGCACCCTTTACATTTTGCCTTACTTAGGCAGGCAACCCGTAACCGCTAAGAGGAAGGCCAGCAGTACAAACCCTCAACTTGCTAGAACCTACAGGATAAAAAGTGGCTCTGTGTTTGCAGAGGAGGGGATGCCTAAATTGTCCTCCTGAGACTATTGCTTTTGCTCAAGGCTAAATAGTGCCTCTGCTTCGTTACCTTCATACAGAAGCAGGAAGACGACAGCATTAGGGAAAACACCACTTACCTTTTTTTACCACTGGTTAATTTTCTTTTGCTTTGCCTGCAACTGTAACGATAACTTTGTTACACCACCCCATTACCAATCAGTGTTAAACGATGAAATAGCAGTGTGGTAGAGTTCTTCAAATACAAGTGATATTAATGGCATAGTTAGAAAGAACACTTTCTAACTGAAATTCTCCCTTTATGTTGGCTAATTATTCACATTGGGACTAATAATAGAATTTTCAATGTATAAAAATTATATTAGGTTTATTATCCAAGCTGTTCTTCTTACTGCTTTCTAGAGAAACTGATTTGAAGAGTAAATTGCTAACAACTCAAACTGCAAAAGCAGTGCAGCTCAAACATTAGGGGTACTCTTCTCAAAGTTAGTCTATATTCTGTATTACGCACTCACTGATATAACTCCACTGATGAAAATTCCAAGTATTTAGAGAAAAAACTCATAAGATTATTGCTACCCATTTGAACTTATCATAAGGAAAAAACTTCCACACTTTGCATATGCAGCTACAGTGATTAAGTGCATATATTAGATATTTGCAAGCATAATTAGTTATGAGTCTGCACAACTCAAATTACCCAGAAAACACTTTATTCTCCATGCTAATTACAAACCTGATGTGGCACAACTGCCCACACCTTTTTGTGTAAAATAAGACACTTAAACGTATGAAAAAATAGTTTAGAAATCCTAGTATCTTAAAAATCGATTCCATTTTTATTAACTTAATAGGGAAATTTCTAACAAACTTGTATTCAAATAAAAAAAAAAATAAAATAAAGAAGAAAGCTGTACATTCAGGAGTGGTCCAGCACTTAGGTCTGCCCGTGCCGAAAATAATGCCACATATTAAGGTCTCCAGATCCCCCTAGAAATGAGAGACTGGCACGTAGTGTCATGATTTTTCTTTTTAACATACCAGTTTTTGTCAGCTGCTCAAGTTTAATAAGGGGATTCGCTTTGACCTACTGGTCTTTGAATGTTCATGTACATACACTTCCCCATGTGATAAGAATATACGGGGCAGTGTGCTTCTCCCAACACCTTTGGTATGTGGAAAGCTACAGAAACTTTACTCTGTATTGAAAGTTTTCTTCGCAGGAGAGCGCCCTGAATATAAAGCTCCCACCAGTTGAGGCACAGAAACCTTTCCCTCAGGCAGCCATACTCCATTTTCCTTTCTGGGAGCATTAAGGTAAGATCTCACCAGGCACTGTTCGGGAGTTGAATATATTCGTGTAGAAGTCTATCAGTAGTTCAGTGAAGAGATTCAGAGGTACCAGAGCACTCAGGGAGGCTGTTCCTTTCGACGGCCGGATCAAATTCAAACCAAAGACACATGCCAGGCTGGATGCTGTCATTCTGTTATAGATGCTTTCCTGTGAAACCTGGAAAAACATAAACATGAATAGGTACATGCAGACACGTGCCCCAGAGAGTGAGAGACAAGACACCATCCTGTATTGAGGACGCACCAATGACGGGAGTAGACTCTGGCCGCAGGTACATCACTGGCTTCTTAACAGCCTCGGGGCTGGCTGTGCAGCCTAGAGCTGTGGGGCCACTGAAGTCTGTGTCCCTCAAGTACAAGATAAGATGTCAGTAAGTCAAGCAAAAAGGCTGAATTGTTTCCTTATGCTAGCAAAATTAATTGCTTTCAATCCTTCTATATGGAATCTATTGTTATCTCCTGCGGGGGGCAGGGAAGGCCAGCATAAACAAACAGCTAGTCCCATCTGCTTCAGTACTAAGTCCTCTACAGAATAAACCTCGAGGACTTCTGGAGCTGTTTACAAGGGTTTAAAAGGATTTTTTTCTCCTCCCACTGACGCATGACTTCACTTCCAAGTACCGCCACATCCACCCAATTCCTCTGAAGCAATGGAGGTGAAAAAATGTAGGTAAAATACACAGCACTCAAATCTGTCCTGCACCTAGATGATGTGTCCTACTTCCGTCTGCGGATGTGAGCCCAGAACTGGGTAGCCAGAGTGGTTTTTTTCCTCCGTGAGAGCTTGGTGGGGAATTTGTGTGTGTTTTGCTCTCCTGCATTGCATGGCTGGTATCTAACGCCCAATATGGTCTGGGTGTCCTATCCGACAAGTTTCTCTGTTACTGTAAAGAGCCAGCAAGCTGAAGGTGCTCTTGATTCCTCCTGACCTAGGTAAACCAGCCAGATCTTCTCAGGCTGCTGGTTGCAGTTGTTGATCAGTTATCTGTTGTGGGAAGACCATGCAGTCACAAACTGCAATGTACAGGTTACTCTGAAGCTGTCATCTCAGAACAGAACAAGGAATTATTGGGCAAAATCTCCCACATATTCTTCCTGATACTATTTCAGAGGAACAAGAAAGCAAAAATTCTGCTTCTCAGTGTCTCTCCATTTCTGCCTTGCTGTATAGCCTCTTGAAAAGGCAGCTCTGTAGTACTACGAAAAGCCTGAGGGCACTAGAGGAAAATCTAAGAAACGTTATGATCATGTGAGCACTTCTTAGCATACGCATAAACTCCAGTCGCCCCCTGCCTGGTAACACAGGTTTCATTCCCCTCTATCTCCTACAGCACAGACCTACCCTCCTCGATGTTTTACCTAGCAAGGAGCCTATTTGCTCAGCCATGAGGGAATATAATGCCCTTTAGACACGTGTGAAGGATGGAAGTTGTTTTTCACTCGGGGTACATGAAGAAGCACTTATGTGCCCAAAAGCATAAAATTTTCTTCCTAACCATATTAATTTTCCCAATAATAGGCATTATTTTTCCCTCCAATCTTTGCCTTACCCTTCTGGGACATCAGAGCTACCGTGATGCTACTTCTGCTACAAACATTAAAGGCTTCAATTGTTTTTAAAGCAGGACTGGATAAAGGAAGGCCATAACCACCTTTTCAAGGGACTGACTTCACAACTGGAGAATAAAAAGTCGTCAGAATAAATGGCAATGCCTGCTTCACGGCCTTATGCAAAACCCACATCATTCTCTTTAGAGCACGAACCACATATGACCTGCTGACCTTCACATACTGCTCTCAACGCACTATTTAACTATACGGAAAAATCAACAAGCCCATCTTGTTCATTTAATCTGGTTCAGACGAGATCAGCTCAAACAAGAGTTCATTATACTACAGCAATGTAGCAAAAGCTAAACTACTACCAAAACAACTGATGAGGGAAAACAATTAGGACAACAATGAGTACCCTGTTAACAAGGAGACATAGACCTAGGTATTACCCTGAAGGTAGCTGGACAGTGAAGCATTTGTATACTAATAAATATAACGAGCTTAGGGCCTGTGTTCTGGCCCTTGGGTCAAGTGGCTCATACTGGCTGCATCCACCCTGTGTCATGTTGTACATGTGAAGCCCCTGTGGATTAAGGACAAATTATTTTTTGATGTTTCTTTCAGTTGAAAGTCTCTCAAATAATAATGTGACAGCTACAGCCTGTCACACTGTTTTCTGTAGCACAAAACCAAAGGTGGTGCTGTATGTCCTAAGGCAGGTACCTTAAGTGTATACAGGGCAGGTACCCTATGATGGCACAGAAGCGTGTGGTATGGTCCTGTACGACAGTGGAGGGTGAGAGGAGTCAAACCTGCTGCAGTTGTCTTCCCCTGTTTTTTGGGAGTGCTGCCTCACACGCTCCATCCCACAAGTCATGTACAGGTGCTGTCTTCAAGTGCTAGTGGAAACGCACCCAGCCTAACCCAGCCGCTGCCTTCAAAGGCCAATGTTTCAGCTCAAAGCAACACCACTGTGACTTGCTGGTAGAGCTAGATTTTTTTGCTCTCTTAGGCCAACTATTTCAAAGAACGTTTCTAACTTCAAGATGAAACCATTTCTTCCCACCCGCCACCACTCTGTGAACATTTCAAGGAGATGGTCAATGTTGAAATGATCAACAAAAATATCCATGACACAGCTTCTCCCCTGAGAGAGAAAATCCTTAAGATAAAATGAAACAGTGACTATATCATCTGAGGTAGAGCTACACTAAGCTGTATTTGTGAGCCATAAATGAGGCTGACACTTAGGAATTCAAGGGAGACACGGCACATTGCTTCACTCCAAAATGCACAGCAATCCCTTCCTCAGCAGATCCAGAAAAGCGTGCAACTAACTCTCCACAATAATCTCTGCCGGCTCACCATAAGCTGCAAGCAAGGAAGCCGTGTCACACCAGGGGTAATCGCTTTATCTCTCCCCGAGGGGATCAGGCTTCACACTATCTCAACTCCCTCACTACTCCAGTGCCAGATTTCTTTCTCGAATGACACGAACACATATGCTTCATCTACAACACCATCGTGTGCAGCTGACGTTTTCTTCCAACGCTAGACCATGTAAGGGCAGCATGCAGTCAGCCAACTTCTTTATGGGCTACCCCTCTATATAACTGCACCCCAAAGCTACGTTCTACCCAAGAAATACAAATGACATCTTTAGCATTTGGAGTAACCCCCTTGACTCCTCCTTTGAGTCCCTCACAAAGTCAGTAACCGTCATCTCTGTTTCAAGTGAAACTACACTTGCTCTGTCAATTTGACAAGCTAATAAAAGACAATTCTCCAAGGACCTAAATTGTGTCTTTGAAGGAACCATCTGAACATCACAGAAAAGTATTACAAAGAACTACACAGCTCCAGTTTGTTTGGGTTTTTTTCCTCCCTTTCATTGGAACATGCATAGAAAAATCATTAAGTGATGACAGCCTATAGTGAAAGAAAGACCTCTAGAAAGATAAAACTTGTACATTGCAAAACTCATCATTGGGAATAAACACTGAAGATTAGTGCCACATCAACAAACGTAAAATATACACCTTCACTATCCCAGAATAAACGTACAGCTCTCCCCTGCAAATCCGTGACAACTTTTGGATTCCACACACTTGCATCCCGGCACCTTCATGGATACTGCAGGAGTGAAACCAGACAGCCACCACACTCCCTAATGAACTTAAACAATGAAATACAGAGGGCAGAATCAGCCAATTACCATCACATTTTAAAAATATAAGGACATCACCATCTCTTTGGTTTCACAGTCAAAATGCTGAAAGAAACTCCACAAAACACTTTCAGAAGAAAATTACTAGATATTAAAACGCCCCCACAAACTGACTGGAAATAGAAGTTTTTATCCCCCACTCTCAGCTACTTTGCAGACACGCCAACTGCTTGTATCTGCTCCATGAGGCTTAGTCATCTAATCCTTCCCAATGTGCCCAGTCGTCTCCCGCCACCCCCAAACTTTGCTGGTGCTAATTACACTTTTCAATTGGTCAAGCAATGAGACAAAACATTAATCCAGAGTGGGTTTTTTCCAGCTTGTACTTGGCTTTAACTTTGCTGCTTCAGCTACAGAACTGAAGCATAGCTCAAACCTTAAAACCTTATCCATTTTTTCTAGTTGGTCCAAGTTTGACATTTTGAATTTGGCAGATTTTTTGCAATGTTTTTTTCAGCCAAGTCAGCCACCCTTCCCCTGCATCAGGCGTGACGGCAGGGACAGAAACAAGCAGCAGAGAGGGAAAGTGTGTAAGCGTAGAGAGGGGGTTGTATCAGCTGGTATCAAAACCAAAGACATGGTTATAAAAACACAGTCTAGATGATATTATTGCCTCTACAAACTTTCCCCATTGTTGAGTCTCAGACTGTCATGGAAAACTACAATTATAGTTTTCTACTAAATGGTTTCTGGCTTCAGAACTGGGTAACTGTAGCCCTCAGCGTGCTTTGCCAAGTAATTTGCAAGAAGACTTCTTTGAGCCCTTTAAGTTTGCATGTGCATTCACAAAGCCACTTCACTGCAGGTGCAACACAGGGCTTGTGGAACACAAACACTTGTTTGTGCACACTCATCTCTTGTGAGATCAGCTGGGCAAGCATGGACATTTTTTTACAACATAATTCAGGGACTGACTTGTGAAAACCGATCTTTGTTTTCCCTCTTGCTGCTGGTTGCCCAATTCTGCTTAGGGACCTCAGTCTACTGCAACTCCAAGGCGATCCTGGCCAATCCCTCTCTGGCACTCAGATGCACTGCAAAGTGGAGATGGACAGCTCATACCTTTCCCAGCACAGTGGGCTCATTACTGGCAAAATCACTGCTAATCTAAGGTTAAAGAATTTGGACCTATTTTTGAAATTCAGGTCTTTTACTTCTGTAGGAGTTGCACTGTCTTGCTGTAGCACGTTTGGACTAGAAAGAGCCATATCATTAAGTAAGGGGGTTGAAACTGCAGAGAAAATAGGGATTATTTTTTTTTCCACTTCCACAAGCCTGTATCAAACCTGGAGTGTTCAAAACCTGTATCTAGTGATTACAATTCATCCCACTTCATGAATTACCACAAGTACCTCTTGGACTACTCAAGGCTGAGCTCATGGAAGAATTAAATTGCCTCTTACATGTAAGAAGGTTGACGCTTGTAGGTAAAAACTAGGATTATTGGTAGAGTGCTCTGTTAAAGTTTGAATTGTGGCAGCTTGTGTAGCACACCGGTCTGCAACGAATGGAAATCTCTAGCTCCTAGATTGTTTCACATTTCCTTGACCTTTCCAAATTCAAATATTCCCTGAGACATTAAGGATGAAAATCCATGGATCAGCAAAAATTGCAGATCTGAGCACTAGTATCAGCTTAATGCTGTGCTTTACATAACAAGGCACACTCAAAAATAATGCTGTGTTCTGCTGCCCAATTACAGAAAACACTATGTAGTACTTTTGCACACCTCATTAACACCTCAAGTGCCCAGCTCTTAAGAAGTGCGTTGAGATGGTGCATCTATTATTGGAACAAAGTCACTTACAAGATTCATAACACTGAGGAGAGGTATCAGTTGCTAAAATAATAGCAAATGACATAAGGATTTCCTTAATAGCATCAGAGTTCAGCTAAGCAACAGTAAACGAACACGTGGGTATTATAGGAACCTTGCAAGTCCTGTCTGAGTGAGGGTTGTATCAATGTGCTTCCTTTAATCTTGCTTTTCTCCAGTGTTTTGACAGAAAAAGGGATTAAATGTACTTGTTTCTGAAATACGCAACTAGCTAGAATATGGCAGACATGACTGTAGCTCAAGAACAGTTACTGAGGGCTAACTCCTCCATTGGTGAAAATCAGCATCATTTCACATATATGATTGCTTTGGTGGGCTCTTAGAACTTCTGACGGCTAGATCACTTTATTTAGGTGTCAGCTACACCATGATCCTCAGTTTTAGGCACCTGGGTTTGAAAAATGCCGTCTGGCAAAGGCAATGCATTGGATAAGGCAGCAGGAAGGGAAATTTACTCCTATTACTGCCTTTTCCTGCACATAAACTGGCACCTAAAGGATGTCACTAGCCTAACCGCACAACTATTTGTAATGGATGTTCCCCAAACACTCACATTAGTGGGGTTTCCAAAAATGGGTTAAAAAAAATAAATAAATCAGTAAATCAAAAAGTGGGACAAAAGACACATGATTTCATTTATCCTGAAGTATACCGAAAATACTTGCAAAATCGCACGTTTGAAGTTTTTCGTTTAACACTGTAGTAAATCACAGAATGAAAGGCTATTTTAAACAAGAAAATGTTATTGTTAAGATTTGATATAAAATACTTTGCTGATTGTTGTTCTAAAGCTCATTAATATTTCTATCATTTTCTAAAATGACACTAATGTATTCAGTGTTCTAGTTGCTCTGGATTTACACTCCGGAGAAAAAAGGTGATTTCACCTAGCTTTTCTCTGGCACCAGAAATTACACAACTGGTAATTTCAGGCTTTTTGTCACTCCAAAATAGAAAAAAAATCAGCAACTGAATCAATAAAAACGTACATTTGTGAACGTGGAGTAGAGGGGACAGGACTTTTAAAATATTCTAGTGCATGCATGGTTCCACATAAATTTACACAGCAGTTTTCATTACATCTAAAGAATTCCATGGTGAAGGAAGGGATGGCCAGACCATTATTTTGCCCTGACTCTTATTACAACTGGAGGGTCCTGCATCCTGAGTTCACTCCATTGGCACGTACTGCACAACCACCTCACCATACTTTTTAAATTATTCAGTTTTATTTTTCTGTGGAGATGTTAAATGTTGAATTAACAAGAACAGATTTAGAAAGAAAAGACCAGCACTATTTTGGAAATTTTGCCCATACTCACCATATGGAGAAAGCATATCAGATATTTCAGAACAACGTAATTGTGTTCAGGAAGTCCTTGAATAATTTGTTTACATCTGGTGACTCGTAAACTGCTCTCCACACCTGCAATGTCAAAGTCAGTCTTAACTCCAAAACATCAAAATATTACCAAGAAATAATAACTTATTTATATCTGCTGGAGTTACTTTAGATATCCATCTGTAAAACTGACTGCAAAATTCAGGTCTACTAAGCTCCACAACCACAGTAAATTACAGTTATCCCTTTGAATGTCCCTATCGTATTTTGTATTATCACACATCTGGCTAAGACTAACTTCCAGAGTATTCTCCCAAGTCAGTGAAATAGCCCAAATAATTTCTTTGCTAGAGAGGACTTTCAAAGGTCTTGACTTGAATAGCATTATCTCTCCATACACTGAATCTAGACGTTTACTTTTTATGCTCTGATTTTATTCTTGCTGAGACATAGTCCTTCCCAAAACGCTCTTTTGGCACTCTGCTAACTTTAAAAACACCTCTGTGATTCTGCAAGAAACTCTTCTGTCTTGGCAAAAAGTTTGAGCTGGACACTTGGGTGGGTAAGAATTTTCTAGAGATGGTTAGTTAATGAACCTAAGCAGGTTCATTAACTCATTTCTACAGAATGGTAAAACCAGAACTAGATCCCAAACTCCTTACATCATCTAGACAGTCTAAGTGAGAATTACACTAACACTGAATTATATTTCAAATGCTGTACCAAGTGACTCTTTTTATTTTCTGGAATATTGTAATTATTTTAGTACTGGAAGTTTAACACCAGTTTGGAGAAAGGTCTGATGATTACAATCATGCCTGACCTAACCAGCCCATTTGTGCTGATGTTTTTTCTGCATTTGTTGCATTTCTCTCTCCCTCTTCCTGACGTAGCTAGAAGTGCACATAAGTATCCGTGCATGCACAAAATTCCACCGTGTTACATGTTCCCTTAAGCTCTGAATTAAATACATGAAGCTACAATGTGGTGAGCTGTGTTGATATTTTTCCTACTGACAAGCAACCAGTTCCCCTAAGACACAATAATCTGAGTCCTAGGAATTTTTTTGTCAGCCTTCTGCAGAGTAAGTAATGCAGGAAGTGTAGCAATGCTGGGTAAAGGAACTCTTATTAAGCAGTTTTCATGACCAAAGAAGTTCTTTGGCAACTATAAGCTTCAAGGCTTTATTAATTTTTTTAGTCAGTCACTCAGCTAACTCATTTCACAGCTCCATCAATAACTCTTTAAAAAAATGTTTCAGATAAGACACTAAAGAGAAAAGTTTCACTATCATTTGAAAGTACCGTAAAGCAGAGATACTGTGTTTCTGGGTTTGCAGGTTAAGAGATGTAATAGATACATCATACACTGCTCCGGTGTATTCCAGAAGACAGAATGAAAATTTTCAAATCATCCCAAGACAGCTGTCTGTGATCACACCTCTTCAAAACTCCCTTCTGCACTGTATTCACAGAGAATATGCCTTTGCTGCAGTCCAGAATGGCTCTCAAGCTTAAGATCTTTTAAAATCGGGCTATCACCACAGCATCGAGACAAGATAGTGGACAACATACTGCATAGCAAGAAAGCCCAAGGGGAAATTCTCTTAAACTCCATTTTTCAAGATACTTTTTCAACATCTAAAATGCCAGTAAATAAAAATAACATGGAATTAATGTTGCACAGGCATTTTGCCAAGCAAAACCTTCCACTGTTCCTAGGACAATGCATTGCTCTTTTCACTTTTTCACATTCTTCACTTAGCTTTAGCATGAAGTAACATCACGTCCACAAAGTCAGCACAAGATTAATTCAGTAAAAATTAGCATTTATATATGCTTTTTCCAAATTTCCCCTATTGCTCCCTCAGTTCTGAGTGACAATCCTTACTCACTTCATTTCTACAACCTCCCTGTGAATAGACCTGTTTTTCTCAATGCCCTGAGATATTTAGCATGTGGACAGATGAATCCTCGAATCCTTGATTTGAAAGGTAGTGATCTACAGACTTGCAAATAGAAAACCAGGACAGACCTTCAGAATATTATGAACATGACCTCATTAAGTTCTTAATGAAAATGCATAAATAAAGTTAATGATATGAAACAGTATGCGCAGAGGCTAGTGATGGGCACCGTATAAGAATTTTACCTAAAATACAGTATATCCAGGTACAGGTAACTTACTGTACTTCTACACGTTACAAACATGTAGCAGATGCAATTTATCCCCAGTCTGAATTGTTTAGTGACCTGCCTCAACAGCAACAGTCACCACAGTGATGATAACCTACACTACGCCACTAAAACTAAAGCTGCTTTGACATAACTTGTATTGCTGAGACTGACTCAGTGCTGTGCCGACATGAAAATGGAGCCCTGATGGTGAGAAGTCTGATCCAATTCTTAATAATACAGTACAATAATACAGATAAACCAGTAAACCTTGTAAAAAGCAGAGAGGGTCTTGGTAACCCTGACCACCTTGCTCTGGTACAGATTATGAGGTTGTCCATTTGTGGCTGCAGTGAAGCGCTGATAACGTTATATACCTGTAACTGTGTCATGGTTAGCAAGCAGCAGTGATTATGAATTAGGCAGGTCCAGTGCAACTTGCTGTATAGTCTTTTCTAACACTTATTTATACTCACTGGTGATTCCAAGGATATGATCATAACACTCAAACGTTAGTAATGGCTGAGGGAGTTCCCTAAGGAAAGTCTTTAGGATAACTGCAGGAATATGGATATCATGATAATCATCGAAATTCACCGACTTGCCTAAAAGGAGAAAAAGAAGAAAAAAGGTGTTCAATCACATGTTTTACCTCTTCCAACTACTGCTTAAAAACTGTTTTACACTACATTTTGAACAGAAAATCTCTCGGCTTTCTGCTGCTGGTAACTCCTGGCATTTTATTTTTGTATTTTTCATAGTGTTTTATTAATCTTGCTGTAAAAGATTCTCCCCATAAAGGTATTTCATAAAATGACTTCACAGAGAAGTCAGTGACTTTCAAAATTACTTCACTGCATTTTATAAATTATTAGGTAAAATCGTATTTCTTTGCCATAACCATGGAAAAACACCAGAGGCAAAACGACACAGAGACATGGTACTTTGTAACTACAGTAAAGCAATGGAGACAGCACAAATGTTTATGCAAAAATAGACCATTTTTTACTCCAACCTTATCATTCATTAGCTGCTACAGATTTTGTAAGCTCTTGTCTGACATCAGCTGACGGCTTGCTACTCAGTAAGCGCTAAGTGCCTGTTGCTATCTTTCAGGTTTCTGTACTAGTGCTCTTATTATGTTATAGTACAAATGGTTTTATGATTAACTAATTATAAGAAAGCTAGCATTTCTGCTTCACCAACAAAACCTAGATCAACAATGTCCTCACACTATTACTGGCAACGGTATGATGACAGCTTACCCTGATTGTAGAGTTTCTGAACATCTTTGATAATCTGGATGCTGGCAGACCTTCTGAAGAGGCCCTCTACTTGTAGTCCTGAAAAAACAATTAATGCAAGTCTCATCTGTAAAAGCTTTCACGCTCTTGTTTTCCTCTGCAGGTATAGCTGAAAACAGAATAGAGGCAGATGGTTTGGGAACAAACCCTCTTGGTACACTCAGTTTTTGGAAATAAAGCCCTTGAGAACAGAACATACAATCAAATAATATTCCAATGCTCACAGCACTTTCTTTAATATGTATCATAGAACTACGACCACCTTTCCTTAAGTGTTTTAGTGTGTCTTGCCAACTATAATTTTTGTTTCAATTTCAATTAGCTTTCAGTTGCACCTAATGACATAGAAGCAGGAGATTTAGATTCACCAGGGTGCTTATGTGCCCACTCTCACTGAGCATATCTGCAAACTGAGCCCCAAACCATGCCTGTAAATATGCTATTCTCCTTTTAAATACCTTAAACCTTTAATGAGCTAAAGAGGGTATTTGCAAAGATTCCCTAAGCTCCCTCTTCTGCCACTGGGGAATGTTTCATAGGATCTTTGGATGGGGGAGCCTCTTTCTTACCATTGGAGGGATACTGGCCTCCCCAGCTTAAAGGTAATTTAGAGGCAGACCATTGCTCCTTCCACCTCTCTCTGGAAGTCAGTGGGACTTAATACTCTGCGAGCCCATGGTACTTTGAAACACCTGATTATAGTCTTGAGGCACTTTTGAAATATTTATCATAAATCTCCTGAAGGGTATCTGTCTAATTTGCTTTTCTGTTGTGGACTAACTGAAATCTGACTTCAGCTACAGAGGAAAAAAGTCAATAAAATTCATCCAACCAAGGATCTAATTTGGACCACAGCTTTCAAGGTAAGTTATTTCTCTGAATTATTATGCAAAACAGGATGGGGACAAGAAACATTACTTTTCTTAAGACTTGTGGTACTTCTTGCTTTTGAGTTTGGTAAAATCTTCATTTCCCTCTCTCCTTCCTTCTCTCCAGTTTGTGCTGTTCCTTCCACCCAGCAGCTAATGCAATTTGGCCCGCACATAGTCTGAATCGGAGATCCCTACTGGAAGCAGAGTGGTCTAAAATATTAGCCTATGCTGGTCTGACAAAACATAAGATTGCTGATGTTTTGAGAAAGGTGGCAGACCACCCACTGACTTAGACTGCTGCTGTATGTTTATTTATGTGAGTGTAGAAGATCAGATTGACTTTAATTTTTCATTCTTATCTTTCAGCAGGTAAGTAGCCGGACTGAAACCTATGTTTGTATATGTCAACTAAAGCATACATGCACCTATTTGCATGATCAAGAATATTTATGGTGTTCTAAAAAAAAAATTTGAGTCATACACTGACGAATGATACTCAGTCATTCTTGTAAATTCATCCAGGTGAATGTGTATTTCATACATGAAAAATAAGTAAATTAATAAAAAATTCCTTAATGAACCCATTCCTTACAGGATAACATTTAGTATTGTTCATATGAATTTAGATTAGTATAACAAAAGAATTGATAACGTACTATTGAAGTAAATTTTCATAGACATGCTTCAGAGACTTTTGCAAAGAGCCCCAAGTTCTACTTGAAAGTGCTCCACTGACTAGATTTAGAGGCTTAGCTGGAGTTTAGCTGAATACAGGTCCTAGTTACTTTCTAAGCATTTATGCCCTTGCTTGCTAAATTCCAGGTTGAATATTAAAACTTTAGCCCATGCACTCAGTACCAGAAGGAATATGATACCCTAAACTACAATATATAAGAAAGACATGTGTGTTTACTAAAGGAACCAAATGGACAATAATTATGATCTATTTGACCGCTTGCTTTATTCTTGACCAGGTCATGTTTCAGTTGAATAAAGTTGTGGCAAATTACATCACTGTAGTAAAACTGTTCCATTAGATTTATAGTGCAACCTGTCTAAAGACATGGTTTTGGAAGTGGCAGCTGTGAACAGCTAGCTCGTCAAGGCACTGCCCTCAGCAAACAAGAAACGCAATAATTTCCTGAGAATTTGTAGAATTTTATGCTGGCTGTCAGCGGACTAAAGGTTTTCTGTAGAAACAAGTCTTTCAGAAAATGGGCATCATAAATGCTTGCAATTCAGTTTGCAGGAACTGGCTTAATAGTTAATGCTTTAGTCTGATGTGAATCTTACTGCATAAACTACAATGTAATAAATATCAATTTTTAACATGTTTATGCCTTTATTGGCTAACCTTTCAAGAGTCTAATTAAAGACATCAATCTGTAGCATAGACAGCAGCTGTACTTGTCTGGCCCTGCATCCCATCAATGTTACTGTAATGGCCCATAACACTAAACTCTTGTTGGATATGTTTTTTGGAGGGGGAAAAGTAACTTTTATCCTCATCTGCAGAAATCTGGGATATGGGCAATATTCGTGCTTCTTCCGGGATTCATTTATCAGTCAGCTGAAACTGAATCAATATACAGCAATTTGTTTGATCACAAGCAGCAACAAGCCAACTACCAAAGCAGGTATCTCTAATCCTGCTCATATTTGTAGGCAACCTATCCAAATGAGATGACACTAATTAAATGTAAGTTAGTACAATTCTTAGGAAAAAAGGAAAAAGCTATATTCTCCTTCTAAAGGAAAAGATCTGCAACAACAAAATAGCCACATATTTTCTACATAAAAGATGCTCAGACCAGAAAATAACATATTATGGTGATTTTTAAATAAAGCATGGGTTATAACTTCAGCCTAGTGGTAAACAGAAATATGAGTTGACAGCAGTTATGTTACTGAAGGGGAAACACAATGAGCCTGGGTACAGAGACAGCCCTTTTGCAATATATTTTTTCTGACATCCGCGATGCATAGGCACTGAGAAAGATACTTCTTTTAAAAGTTTGTAAATCTATTAATTGCACTCAGTGCTTTCTGTATTTAAGCAGGGCAGGGGAAAGCTACCTGAAAACATGAGTTGAATGACAGTGTTTCCCACGTCACATAACTTGAACAGCATTAGCATATGCCCCTAACTCGGGTCTCATAAGGGATGAGAAGGAGGAAAGGGACCTGAAGCCTCTCACTGGTTATTTCACTGTGATGGAAAAATACGCAGCCTTACACATGTCAGGAAGTGCTTTCTCCAAACCTGTCTCTTCCTTTTCAGACAATAGGGGAAAACCTCCCATTTCTGGAACTACCATAATTAAACTAACACAAGGTATCCACACTAAAATACGATTAATCACTTTGTCTTCTGTTTGCAGACAAAATACATGCCAGAGCCACAAGAGCTACAGGATGAGGAAATAAAATTGTCTGAAGACAATCCTGATCATTGCAGCTCAAAGTATTCGTTTTTGTCCTTTTTAAAAAAATAATTTTGAAGTAGCCTATTTAATTTCTGTTAGTAGTATTCCTCAATCAAATCCTGTTTACAGCATGACTCACGTCAGCTGTCTCTTTAAAAAGAAATATTTTTGTTTTAGTGTACGAGTTGAACTATTTTGCCATAAATAGCATGGGTATCACAGTCCATAGAGAATACCAACCCTGGAGTACCCAGTTTGATAAACGCACAGCTGCGTGTCACTCATATTCTATCAACACTGCAGAGCCTCTTTTGAGATAACCCAGCACAAACTTCTCCCCGCCCCTCACCAAAAAAATGCAGATAGATACATGTAGACATCAGTGGACTTTTGCTACCCTGTGCTAAACTCTCCAGGCCAAAAAAAAAGTTAAATTTTATTTTAAATATTAAATGTTATACAGAAAAACCGTAGTGAAGTGACTAATGAAGGAGCTACGTGTACTCAAGGAAAAGTGATTCTGTGATTGAGAACATAACTGAGTAATTATTTAAATGTCAGTAATCATAAATGAAAACAGGCAGGCACTTCATTCCACACTGAAATAAGATGGCTTTACCACAGCAGACAAAATTTCGCAGTGCAATGACACAACTGTGTCACACTCCGAATTAATAAACTGTTGCTAAAAATACTTAACCCCCTTCTGCCCCCCCAATCAGTTGTCCCACAGGAAAGACACAGAAAATCAAAACTGATAAAGATAAATTAAAGCAACACATGCTGTCACATTGCTGCAAACGTGTCAAAGAAAGAGAGATGAGAAAATTACATTCTTTTTCTTTCAATCATCCTTGATTTGAGGGTTGCTGGCATCCAAAACCTTTGTTAATTTGTCTGCTTTCAGAAAAGAAATAGCAAAGAGTAAGCATCTGAATTCCTTCTGTCCCAAACTGAGTTTGGAACTGTCTCTTTTGACTGGGGTCCTGCCAAGTCTCAGGAAGTGTCCATCCTGATTTGGAAGCGGTTTTCATTCTCATTAATACAACTGATTCAGTCATCTCACAGATAATGTAATTCTAGTAAGATTCTCTCTTAAAAAATAGAATTAATTTATTCCTAATACGAGGACTGATGAGTTTATAGCACATTTTAAGTCTTCATCTTCAATGTAACATTGTAAATGCCCAAAGTGGTGACAACTGCGAATTTTTATGATTAAGACAAATTTGAGATTATTTTTTTAAAAGCTAGAATACAGTACAAATTTGAGGAGGAGATTGCCCAGCCTTCCCTTCCCTTGTACTCTGCGCAATGAATACAGAACAAGTGAGTGCTATGTCTGCAGTTTCTAAAGATGATTTGCACTGCAAGAAGATACACAGTACAGCAAGGGCAAAGGGGAAGAGAAGGAACAGTTCCAGCCCTACTGAAAAGCCGACCAGCAGCAGCAAGGATGTAGAACTGTGCATCCTCCACAGAACCCAAAGTGGAATTGTGTCCTCGCAGTTTTGAACAGCATAGTCTCCAGCCTTTGGATTTATGAATGAATATTCTCACTTTATACTTGGCACTTCTGAACATAATTTATTTACAATGCCTGAGCACCAAAACCACAAAATGTGCTTATTACAATGTTCATTTTTATTTGTTGTCAAACAAACTAATCTTGGGATTTATCCCATCTCCATGAACCTAGGTAAAAACATTCACGTGAAAACAAAAGAGCCAAGAACTCCAA